GCTGGAGGGGAAGGGGTGGGGGCATGCTGCAGGCACAAGGCAGCCACAGGGAAGGGGGAGGGGGGGCAGGAAAGAGTTAAATTAAAGAAGGTGGGGCAGCCAGCAGAGGAAAGAACAGATGTGACAGCAAAGCAAAGAGTGCTAATGGGTGTTGGTGGTGGAAGAGGGGGCTGAGCTGGGCTGGGGGTTGGGATGTGGGGAAACCTTGATAAGCTGATGGGGGAGCCTAGCAGGGTGCTCTGTTAGGCCCCTCTGGGGTTGATTGGGGTGAGGGGCAGTCCCAGCCCCCACTTCCATCCCTACCTGCCATGGGATGGTTATAAGGCAACCAGGGAAGGGGAGACTTGTTGGTCTGGTCACAGCTGAGACTTTAGGGACCCTGGGAGCCATGGCTAGGCATCTAATTCCCCATCAGCCCCTAGGAGGCTGGGTGTCTAATTCTCCTACAGTCCTTGGAAGCTCTGGCTGGGGAGGGGTGTAGGGGCCTGGCCTCACGTCCTGGGCTGGCCTCTGCTCCAATACCCACCTTGCCTCATGCTGGAGCCCATAGCCTGGCTACAGGGGCAACACCCACCTTGAAGCCCCCCAGGAAGCAGGAAGGTGCTGTGGGGGGCAGAAAAATTAAACACAAAAAGGGGAAGGGGTCACTTAAAGGCTGTGCTGTTTCCCTGAGGGTCCAGCAGGGGCCAAAGCCCCTCTCTGGGCTACAAGGCCATTTCCTTCCTTAGGATCTCCCATTCAAAAGGTGATCCAACCAAACCCTGCTTAGCTTCAGATAAATGCCTGGTGCTGCCTGAAGCTCCACAGCAGGGGGACACACAGAAGGTCAGGCAGGGATCAGGCCCTCTCAGCTCAGATGGGCCTAGACTGCAGGGCCTCACCTGTCTTAGCAGCAGGGGGCAGAGCCTTGCCTGGGAGTTTTTGGAAGGCGGAGGCAGGAAGAGCATGGATTTGAACCCCCATCCTCCTGGCTTGGCAGGAGCAGCGGCCCTCAGCTACATCTGTGGCAAGTCAGGGGATACAGTAGGAGCCTGGACACATGGGTTCTATCCCTCCTCTGGGAAGGGAATGGGGTTTGCTGGGTTAAAGCAGGGGAACTGGGAGCCCAGACATCCAGGTTCTACTGGGAAATAAGTGGGAGCTGATGGGTTACAGTAGGGGGGCTGGGAGCCCAGACACCTGGGTTCTAGCCCAGTTCTGGATTGAGAATGGGGTTAGACTTTGTTATGACCAACAAGCTCCCTCGCCTGGGACACTCAGCTGGACCCCATCTTCCCCTTCCAGCACCACCCCATGGAGGAGCAACGAGGGGGCGGAGACATCAACAGCAGGGAGAGGAAGAAAAGCCACATCAGCTGAGATCAACCTCTCTCACCTAAACCTTGGGTGTAGCCAGATCCCAAACTACTCAACAAACCAGAAGCTGGAGGTGTCTGGAGTCATGTCTTCCTTGGCAAAATGTGGCTGCTTCTGGGGTGCAGCATGGCAGGCATTGAGCAGTGAGGAGCTGTGGAAGCCGGTTTGGGGCAGGAGGGATAAATCTGGTCTCAGGAAACAGCGGGTGGAGTTGGGGGCTAGGTCCGGCTCTGAGCTTATAGAGAGTGATGAGCCTTCTAAGGACCCCACAGTCTATACTGTCAACCTCACTCCTACAATTAACAGTTGGAGCCTAATACCATATTTTCTTAGATATAACACACACATCCCACCTTAAAACAGCTGTTGGAAACTGACCTGTATTGTATACAAAAAACACAGTAAGAGCAGTTTCTGCTGCTTATGCTTCTGTGGGATGAAAACAAAAATATCTGTGCCCATGGCAGGAAGCAGAACATGGTTGCTCCTCAGGCCCGTTACACGTTACATACATTGAGCACTTAACTGGTGAATCATGCAGTACATTTAGACCAGGCACAGGTGCAAAGTCATTACCACACCATAAAAATGGCCATCCAGCTACAAAGTTAATGCCTTAAAATGTGTAACTTTATAGCTGGTTTCTATCCAGCTTGAATTTGAATATATAACAGGGCCCCAAATGACTTACAGCAAGGATCTGCTTTTAGTCATTTCACCTTTCAAAAACAAGTGGTGAATCTTATTCTGGGCACACTGTAGGTGAGAAATTATGGTATTTGTGCTAGACAGTTTTTAAGGGAAAAATCTATTTTGGGGTTGGTGGGGAGACCCAGCAACCTGGATGGGTGCTGTGCATAGGCAGCCCTTCATAAGGGAATCAAGGCCTATTGTAGTATTCCCTAGCATATGACAAGCCTTCTCTGGAAAATTATGGAAGGGGCACATTCTTAAAATGAGGAAATGCAGAACTCAAAGGTTCTGATCCTGTAGAAGCCGCACTGCCCAGCCCCTCTGTGAGCCAGCCCGTGGGGCCTGCTACTAGAGGGTTAGTAACACAGACCCATTTTTGCTCTCCCTGCTTTTGTCAATTCATTCAAAAAAAAAATCAAAACTAAGAAACATTAAACAGCTCCTATGAAGAAGGAAAAGGTCTTTTCCGTCTTGCTGCAGAGGATCACTACATGGACCAATGGCTCAAAGCTGAAGCCAAGTAGGTTTAGTTTGGAAGAAGGTTTTCCTGATCTCCATGTTAGAGCAGGGAGGCAGTGGAACAGATGCCCAGGGCAGTTGTGGCCACTCCATCACTGGAGGGTTCAAGGAGAGGTTGGACAGCACTGGTCAGAAATGACCTAGGTGTACTGACCATGTTCTACTCCGGGGATCTTTCAAGCTTTGCTGGGTGTCACATGGGGCTGGAGGAAAATCTTCCCACTCTTGATAGTATGTGTCAAGGTGTTTTTAAACCTCCTTCAAAGGCATTGGTTGTTGGCTACAGCCCAGGCTGGGGATGGCACCTGTACTGAAGCTCCTGCTAGAACTCAACCCTGGAAGTTCCTGGCTAGGTCTTGCCTCTCTGCACAGGCAAAGATTGATGCCAGATTTGGGGTCAGGAAGGAACTTTACCCCATGGTCAGATTCATACAGACTGCAGGGGGGGAGGGGTTGCCTTCCTCTGTAGCAGAGGCCCAGCATTTACCTGGGAGCTCTTGAGCATATATTAACAATTTTTTACAGCAGCAGGACATTGGCCACCATGGTCCCCCTGCTTTTCCTGTGGTGGGATCCGATGTGATATCTGGTGCTATGTCAGGTTTGACAGAAGTTTTATGAAAAGGTTACATGATGGATTTGTCTGAGATGGTTTGGACAGGGCTGATCCTGCCTCAGGCAAGGGGTTGGATTAGATGTGACCTTCAGAAGCCCCTTCCAGCCCCACTTCTCTAAGAATTACGTCAAGGACATGTTGTATGTGAGGAAATATGGTAGTTCCTCCTGCTACTGACCACCCAGCTTCTCTCCCCACAGCTCTATTCAGGGCTGTATCTCAGCCTCCCTTGGAAACCCAACCACACCCAATCTTCCTAAACTCCAGGGAACTTTGGGACCCCTTTCCCTTGCCCTCCGGTTCTCAGCTCATTAGCCTTGCCCCTCCCTAAGCTCCCACATGACACAGGATCCTTCCAGCCCTGAACTGGTCAGCAGCATCGTGTTCCACCCCAGAAGCAGTTGTACCTGCGTAGTGGACATGGAGGAGACTCTCCTACCTCCAGGAAGCGCTTTGAGGGGCTAGTGGAGGAAAGGAATGAGATGCCAATGGGCAACCTACACAGGACACCCCCCAGCCTGTGGTAGATTGGGGTGGACTGACGGATGGAAGAGACATGGCAGAAAGGAGGCACAGACAGACAGACAGAGGGGTGGTGGGGGCAGGGGGGTGAGGCGAGAGGACGCGAGGGGGGGGATGAGAAAACGCCGTGGTACCTGCTCGCTGGGATGGAGCGGGAGCGGGGCTTAGAGTGATCACAATAACTGGACGGGAGGAAGGAAGAAAAGAACCATGAACGCGGCGCAACCCGGAGCTGCCCCGGGCGCCCCAGGGGCAAATAAATTGTATGGGGGGGAAGGGAGAATGGGGAGGGCAGGGGGGACTGAGGAGGGAATGGGGGGAGGGGGAAGAACCACAGAGCCCAGGGAAGGGGGAGGGGAGGTTGCAGCTGCCCCACCATACCTGTGCTAGACCTGAGGCCCCACACCCCCATCAACTGAACTCTGCCCTTCCGATGCCCCAGCCTTGCCCCGCCCAGGGACCTGCCACCCACTCCAATTCAACTGGACTCCAACCCTGATGCCCTAGCCCTGCCTCCCTGCAACACACTGGCCACAAGCCTCCAACACAGGCTCCACCCCTAGTCCCTTCCCCAATGTCCTGGAGGCTTCACCTGCCCTGACTCCAACCCCTACCCCTCAATCCCTCCACTGCCATGACAACTCCTTTCTGATGCCCCACCTGCCCTTTCAGCACTATGGTACCCCCACAACTTCACCCATACACTCCTTCCAACACCTTGGCCCCGCCCCCTCTCATGCTCCCAGGTCCACCCCAGGACACACTGGCCCCAACCCCTTCTGACCCTTCCCACATGCACCCTGACACCCCACACAGCTCTATCTGCCCTAACAAATGGCAAGGTGAGGCCCAGGATATGCCTCTGCCAAGCGTTCCCTCTAACCTGTGCGGTGTGCAGCCACAGAAGGAATGCTGCCCCCTCCCCAACTGGGCCTAGATTTTATCACCTGATTCTCGTCCCCCCAGATCACACTCCCCCAGCACTGCATGGCCCCAAGATGCGTCCCCCAACCCCAGTCTGACACTTCCCCCCCACTCCTCCACCCCCTGCCCATCTCTAGCTTGGCCCAAAGCCACTGAGAGCAGCACAGGGGCTTAGGCTGCTCTACTGATCACTCCCCATTCATACCAGCACCAATCCCCAGGCCCTGCGTGCGCATGGCGCCTGTTTCCCCAGACTGCATCCTGCCACTTTTCCCAAGCCCTGCTGGGGCCCTGCTGAGGTTAGATACAGGTCACAGTGCCCCACAGCTTGATGGCTCACACCCCCCACCCAGGTCACAGCAGTTTCTAGCCACAGCACCAGCTTCTCACATCACCTTAGTTACCCCACCCCCCCCAGCCCAGGATCAACTGTTCTTTTGGATCTCCCAAGATCACTGCTCTTCCATCTAGATGGGGGGGGGGGTCTGTTTCCTGACTTTAGGCATGCCATAAATTAAGCCCTAAACCCTTCCAGAGTGCTGCTGTGATCTGCTGTTCTGCTTCCTGTTCCCTGCCTTGTACCCCCCTGCCTCCTCCCTGATCTACTATAAGCACATTATCCACCCCTGTGCTCTGGACCCTTTATTCTCAGAATAAAGGCTGCTGCAGAGGGGGCTGGGGTGACTAAGATACCCATTGCTGACATACTGGGCAGAGACATTCCCTCCAGCCACTGTGCAGTGAGAAGCCTGCGCCCATCAATCAGGCCCTAACATGGAACTGACTACCACCACCGCCTCCCCACACCAACTAGGGCCACCCCAAATACTAACCCCAGAACCCCTCACTGCTCCCAGGAGCCTGGTGGGTGTCAGACAACCTGAGAGATGAAGAAGGGCAACAAGGACAGAGCAAACCAGGTGGGGCCACAGATACAGTTGCACCCCTCTGACCCCTGCTCTACGGAAACCAACTGCCGGGGAAAAGCAGTGGCAACAGCAAAGGAGTCAGTTAACTCCATGAATTTTTATCATGCCCCTAATTCTTGATAATCTCTTTGCTCCACAGGCATTGATGACCCCCTCTATTTTTTTTAACAGTCTTAATGTCCCTCTACTCAAACCATTCTTTCTTCTGCAATGTCACTGTCTGTTATCCAGTCCTGGTCATGTCCCTCTCCTATTTCCCAGCCCTGCAGCCTGTTTTTAAGCTCTAGCTAAAAGCCTTCACACAAGTGTGGTCAGATTAACTCAGGTATAAAAATGACTGGTACCATAAAAGTGATGCTGCAGCCATGACAGTCCAGAAAATATCTAAGAGGCAAGAGTTTCTTAGGGTAATTTTTTTCTATTGAATCAACTGCATAGTTGGGATAAAGTTAGACAAGCTTTCAAATGCAAGGCATTCACGTGAGACTTCAGGAAGACTGCCATATATTTGAAATTCTGTCTAACTTTATTCCAGTTGCATAGTTGGTCCAATAAAAGAAATCACTGTAAAAAAACCCTTGCTTCTCCTATACAAGCGAATGACAAAGTATCAGAGCCGCTGCCAAGACGACTAGATTTTCCTGCATGAATCTGAATGAGGCAGACGTTGAACTATTATGACTCCAAAATTAATGACACTATCTTTTACTATTTTCTACCTAGTTTCTATTGTTTTTTCAACTTAATGTAGAACCTAGCAAATCAGTGCATATGTCAAGACAGTAGCATGGGTTTTTGTTTTATCTTAAACTGAATGCCAAATGCCATAGTGTAAGCCCCCCAACTCATTAGTAAAATTTCCAGTGTCATGTTGTATATACACTAATGCAGCACATCATCTGCACCCCCTTTTCAAAATCCTAGATTTGCCCATGGGAAAGGACATCAGCTATTAGCTCCACAGACACCCCCAGCTCAGAGCTGCCCACCCAAGGGGCTGAAACAGAACCCCACCAAATGTGACTCTGGGTCCTGGAGCACCAGCCAGAGGTCCCATCCTTGTGCAGGGATCATCAGGGGGTGGATTTGATTATAACCAACACCACCTTGGCAAAAAGAGTGCAGAAATACCATGTGACCAAGCTGCCTGCTAATTAAGGAGTAAACCCTTCCAGATGTTGAAATCAGAGTTCATCTGACAGGACAGACCAGTGAGGCCCTGACTCCAAAGGCTGTCATCTGGGATGGTTTTGCAGCCATTCTACAGGGCAAGGAGAACTGGGAGCTAATGCAGGAAGCAGGTGAAGCTGCAAGTCAGGCAGGCTGGCAGGGCCCTCCTCAAGAGACCCATCCAACCTGCTCACAAACACTTCCAGGCATGGAGATTCCCCAGCCCCGAGGGGATCAATGTGGGCACTAACCACACCCCAGAGCCAGGAAGCCCAGCCTCACCTCATTGCAATCTCCCTTGTTACAATATAAGGCCAGGTACCACATTTCCCAACATAACACACACCCATAAGACCGACCCACATCTTGTTTTGGGAAAGGCAGAATGAAGAAAATAAAGAATGTTTGAAGAGTGACAGCTGCAAAGGAGGGATGCAAGCTCATCTTCAGCTCACTCCCCTGACTCATCTTTCCTGTTCAGCCAAAAGCTGAAACGCTAGCTGCTCCTGAAGCCTGGTCTCCACAGATAAAACGACAATTCTGAAAAGACCTAAAACCAATCTGTTAGGGTGTGAAATGGGAAGAGAGAGACCAGGAGCAGTGAGCACACAGCCACATTGCCAGAAGAATTCACAGCTGGAATATCAAGATCATTAAAAAGGAGAGAGGGTTGTTAACACCTTGGAAGACCCCGCCCCAGCTGGAACAGGAATGAGAGGTGGGAGTGGGGCTTCAATTCAGGACAGAACATCAGCTTTCCTAATTAATACATATACCCCAAATTTGGAAGGATAACTCTTGGGAGAAAGGTGTGCAAGTTATATGAGTAAACATGGTAATTCTCCCCCCCATCAGCATTCCCTCTAAGCTGTACAGTCACGCAGATGTGCCTGGCAGTGTGGCATGAGCAGGCCTGCACGGCCGCACACTGCACAGCTTAGAGGGAATGCTGCCCCCCACCTCCCAAACGATGGATCCCAGTTTCTTGATAATGGCCATTTCAAATTCTCCCTCCACCTTCTCTTCTCCAAGACCCATTCAAATTTTGGGTCATCCAATCTTTTACCTCTCTTCTGCAGACTCTTTTGAGATCAATTGTGACCCCTGAATCAGGACAGGACCACATTAGGCTACCAGTTCAGTCAAAAGCAGCCCCAGCTCAGATGTCTCCAACTCTCACAGCAGCAATCCTCCGGCAGGGTGATGCAGCAGCCCAGGATGCTTTGAGATCACTTTGAAAGTGCCTTGAATACTAGCCCTGTTAGCATGCAAACATTGACACAATTCACAAGATCA